CTGAAGTAATAACATATGACGTCTTACTGTTGTACATATTAATTATTGTCAGTAATTAATAAATTACATTAATTAGTTAAGGCTGACTTTATTTTACTCAATGGTTTTACTTGCATAACCGTCCTATTAATTATTTATGTTATTTTTTCTTTTCAGGCGATCGTTTAATTTTCGAAGGCATTCTATACGAAATACTTTTTACTTATATAACTAAATCAGATGTTTTATTTTTTCGTACCTATTGAAATATATAACACTTTTTTGAATGCATATATATATTTGAGTTTTATTTTTTTTACAAAAACCAATGGCACTCCTAGAGTGTGATTCCCTGTTAGTAAAAAATCTTTGCTGCTCTATCTTCTTAACCAGGCCATTCTAATAGAGAAAAGTAAAACGTAAAAATGATAATAACTTCTAAAGTACTATTTCAAAAGTCGTTATTGACCGATTGATTATTTTATTATCTTATAAAAATATAAGTATTTATTTATTATATTATAATTATAAATCATAAATCTTGTAATCAAGGCATAATTAAGGAAACACGTGTTGATGTTGCTTTTGGATTTATTGAACAGATCATTTTAAAAATTAAATACTATAAATTTATTATTCACATATTATAAATACCACTCTGAATATTCATCAACAGTCTCGACATCCAAATAAAAATTAAGACAGGTAATGAACATTCATCTGGTTTACGTGATATAATTAAGTTGTAAATGCAAACAATATCTATCATACGACGATATTTAAATCTACTCCTCAACTTTTGACTGCTACCTGTTGTAGTAATACAAAAATAAGCAAAAACGGTTGGGGGTATTTATTTGACCAAAGTCGGATGTTAGGGATTTGGTCAATTCAGGAGCAACGAAGTTATATCGGGGTAGTAGAGTCCGAGGCTTTAGAACAATAAAGACAAGTAGATATAAAAAGATGCAAATTAAGTTCCTCTCATAGAGGTATTAAAACGCTGAGGTATTCTTGTAGTGGCCGGAGTCTTGGCCTCCTATCTGACACCAAGTCGAAGCGTGATGTTAACTGGTATGTGCTTTAGTGGAAATACTGAGGCGTTCATGGAGTGGCGGAGGCCTCCTCTCAGA